CTCTGGTGAACCCTCTTACCCTCCGCATCTCTGGCCTGTCCCTCAGTTCTGTATGAATAAATAAATAAAATCTTTAAGAAAAAAAAAAGTACTATGAAAAAGTCACGCAGAAAAAGATGCATACTATATATCACTTATGTGGAATCTAAAAGTTGAACTTAGAAAATAAAAGAATAAATAAAATGGTGGTTACAAGCAGATGGAGTTGGAGTAATAAAATTTGTAATGGGTAGTAAACAAGTCACACTGATCTAATGTACAGTGTAATGAATAGTCAATACTGTCCTATAGTTATGTAATATGTTAATCACTGCAACCATATATAAAATATCAAAGACAACATAAATTAAGCCATGTCAAATAAATGATATTATCTACAATACAGACATTTTCTATTATCTCTTTATATCTTATATATATATATTTTTAAAGATTCATTCATCCATTCATTCACTCATACATACAGAACTGGGGTACAGGCCAGAGGTGCAGAGGCAGTCTGAGAATTCACCAGAGACAGAGTAAGGAGCAGAATAGGCAGATGGACCATGTACACTGCTGAGGGGAGCAGCAGGTGGGTCAGGAGGAGTGTGCTGCACCATGTGGATCATCTTCCTGGTAGGGAATCAAACTTATGCTGCAGTGGCTGCAAGAGCTTCATGGTGCTGTGCTTTCAACCACCAGGGAGGGTCATATCTTAATACTTTATATTTTAATAAATTGCTAAGAAAAATACGTAACAGAACAGAAAGAAAATTCAAAAAGATCAAAAGAAACTCAACTCACAGATAGTCCTGAAATACAAATTAAACCAACCATGAAACTTCACTTTGCAACCATTAGCACACGCACACACGCGCACACACGCGCACACACACCCCTAATGAGGAACAAGTAATAACTAGCTGAGGTTGGATACATAAGGTAACCTATCATCAACCCTCCTATATGTTAGTGTGTGTGTGTGTGTGTGCGCGCGCGCGCGTTTGCGTAGCTGTAAGCAATGAGAAAATAGTTACTTGGAAGGGGGATATGTAGGTGGAAAGATCTCAGAACAAGGCAGGTAAAGCAAAAAGTGGAAAAAGGAGCAGCTAAAAAGGAGCCAGCTGTGATACTTATGTATGTTTTATATTATGTATAAAAAAATCATCTTATTTGCATAAGAAATTAGGGGGAAAACATTTAAAAACCACTAAAGCTGCTTTGCTGAGTGTAAAGGGAAAAAAAATGTAATGTACATAGTACTCTGTTACAGTAAAAACAAAATATGCTCATATTAGCATGAAGAAAAGTAAAAGGATGTATCAGGTTGTCAGAAAAGTCATGACACATTTTCACTTAAAAAAAAAACAGATTACGTAATAATTTTTCTGACAACACAAGATAAGCAACTAATACCAATTCCTTTTATGGAATGGAACTGGAATGAAAGCTGTGATTGTAAAAATTAGAAGAAAATTAGATTTATAATTTTTGTTGTTTAGCAATACATACCTTGACCTTGCCATACTTTAGAAGGTATTACTAATATTTTGTCACATGATGCAGAAGGTTGGATCCACCGCCAAACTAGAAAATCTGCACCACCTATTCTCCGGGTTTCAGTGCGAACTCTAGATTCATTAGCAGCAAGGAAGTCAACAGCTCTATCCCAGACTTTCTTCATTTTTTTCCTATCATGTGAACAAAATGACCATGGCTTATTATCCTTTTCAAATATGAGTAACTGAAAGTAGCAGTTATTGTTAACTCGGGCTGTTACCACTGCTTATGGAATTTTTCTGAAAAAGATTTAGATACCTAAACCTCACCTGAGATTTGCTACATTTCCACCTCAGAGGTGGAACTTGAGCATCAGTATTTGCCACTTCCCATCCCAAGCTCCACTGGTGATTCTGATATGTTGCTAGGTTAAGAATGCTCTTGAAGTTACTATTTAGTTCATTTAAAAAGTTTTGTTGACCCCCCCTCCTCAAAAAATAAGAATATAAACAATATTAGTAAATAGTCCTTCCCTACTGCCTATCTCCTTACCTGTATCAAGATAAAATATCAGTAAGATAGAGATTGACAACAATGCATTGGAATGAGAATCATTTAGAGAATCTAACTGGGTGTCACTCAAAAATCAACAAGAGTAGAGGAGAGTTTAGAAAGAAAGGAAAGCTTAAAGTACAAGAATAAAGCCTGTATTATAAAAACAATCTAGTTGAAAAGGGTCACAACTCTCAACCTAATTTTCACAACTGCAGAAAACACCAACATTTTGTTAATGCTTTAAACATACCTGTCATGAGGCTGTATTAAGGAATCTCGCACATGTGGAATAGGCATGTAAGGCTGTAAATCTTTATTTTCCTGGCAAGCTTCATTGTGACTTCGTAAAACATCTGAAAATAAACCAAACAAATTTACAAGTAAATCACTTACTGTGCATGATGTTGTAGCAGCCCTACTATTTTAGAAACAGGTTAGATTTTTACAAATACTATACCTATAATCTTTACCACCATATCATACATCTGCCTCGTTTCTTCTTCCTCTTTTGTCCAACGATATTTCATGTAACGCAGAACGACACAAACCATCACCACACCTGCAAGATATATATTTTGTGTTTCACAGAATGTGGTCAATGGCAGTAATGTTCAATACAACCTGAAGTTAATGGGCAGCTAACTGCTAACTCTGAGTATTAAAAAATAAAGCAATAAAAAACAAAACACAAAAAAGTAGTTTTTGCAATGATTATTTTAACTGCCACAATAATGAAATGGCTTCAAAACAACGTTGATTTAGATACATAATTTAAACTACACAGCAAAAACACATATCAATCATTTTCTAGAGTTTCATTTAATCTCTCTAAAATCGTTTCTTCCACTTACAATGATAAATATTTATAAAAAAAAGATTTACTATTATACCTTGCTAAAGACTTTTGGATGTGATTTATAATGGCAACTTTCATGTAAGTAAATTCTCATCCCAGGGATAGTGAAACAGAGACACAAAAATTCTAGCCTAATCGTATCATCTTTCTCACCCTAACAACTTACCTAAACATAACAATAATAATCTGTGGGTTACGGTAATAAAAGCACGACGAAAACGACACCAGAAAGACATCTGTGGTCTTGTAGACTGTAAAAACTGTACGTGAGTTATATTTGTCAATTCTTCCTCTGGGCCATTTCCGACACACCTATTTGAAAATTAAGGAGAATTCAGAGTCAAATCACTTATTACATTACAAAATAGTCAAAATGGAAATCAAATCCTTTACCTTATTCCAACATCTTTTCCATTTTCCAAAATCCACTCCAATGAAGTGTTAAATATATCTTTATATTCGGGGCCTAAATCCTAACAAGAAAAATAGACAAAATAACCAGATGTTCTTAATCCATATTCACATGACTCTTTGTTTAAATTGTCCTATATGTAAACTTTATTTAATAATTTCAACTATGTAACGTACATATAAAATTACACTATTACAGAAAAAAATAAAAGGTGAAAATAAAAGTTACCACTTCCCCACCACCCTATAATAATAACAATATTTTTGCAGAGTTTTCAGTTTTTATATGTCCACAAATGTTGGGGATCCTTATTGTCACAGATTCTTTTTCAAGTATCATCATAAGAGTGGATTTGCCCCCAATTATCCCTCCTACTATTTTGTTGACTTTAAGATTAATTTTTATTATGTATGCATATAAAAACTGGGGTACAGGCCAGAATTGTAGGGATTTAGATTCATCAAAGACAGAATGTGGGTAGAACAGGCAGATCTACAGAAATACATTCCTGAGGGGAGCAGCGAGAGGTCTGCTACACCATTTGGGTCAGCTCCCTGGCTGGGGTTCTATCATTCATGCTGCAGTAGCTGGCAATAACTTGACAGCACTTCGATTTTAACCCTTAGGCCAGCAAGGAAGCCCTTCCCCCACTATTATTAGATGAACAAATGACAGACTATTCTGACTTAGCTGTTGCAAGGGCATTTTATTCAACCAATTAAATCAAGAAGAACAAATGTCTGTATTACCAATGATAAAATTTAAGTTTTCAAATGAAAAGTAGAATTTGCATCCATTACTGGAAGCTGAAATCTTCACAATACTTAAAATCTTTGTAAAGATAATGCTATGATTTTAATGAATGACTTTTTTGGTACAGCATAATAAAATGTGTAAACATTTGGAAGATCTGAATAACCAGTAAACCAATATTTTCTAAATGATCAATGAGCTATAACATCTTTCAAGAGTAAAAAATGCTTCTCAAATGTACAAAACAGGACTAAATTAGACAAAGTAGGAAAATTTTGCTGATATGCTCAGATTCAACACTACAACTACTTTCAAGAAACTACCTTATAGTTTTGGTGTAGGATCAAAGAATACTTACAATAATCTATAAAAGCTACGAAAATGCTCTTCCCTCTTTGATCACATGCCTGTGTGAGGCTGAATTTTCCAACACCAACATCAAAGAAGCCTATATACGGAAGCAGATATAAGAATCCAGTTGGAGGGTCTCCCTGGTGGCACAGGGGCTAAAGTCTCAGCACTATCAAGCTATGACCAGCTGTTAAGGCATGAGTAGGATCCCTGGCAAGGGAACTAACTGACATGGCACAGCAGACTTCTCCTGTCTTGTCCGATGCTCCCCTCAGCAGTGTATTTCGGTAGCTCTGCCTGTTCTGCTCCCCACTGTCTGCTGGTGAATCCTCTCATCATCTGGACCTCTAGCCTATACCCCAGTTCTTGTATGCATAAATAAATAAAAATCTTAAAAAAAAAAAAAAATCTAGTTGTTGGGCCCTCCCTGGTGGCACAGCGGGTTAAAACACAGCACTAAGAAGCTTAAGCCACTTCCGCATGAGTTCGATCCCTGCCTGCCCAGGAGGAGATCCACAAGGCATGGCACACCTCTCCTGACCTGCCCACTGCTCCCCTCAGCAGTGTACTTCGTCGATCTGCCTGTTCTGCTCCCCACTCTGTCTCTGGTGAATCCTCTCACCCTCCGCATCTCTGGCCTGTACCCCAGTTCTGTATGGATAAATAAATCTTTAAAAAAAAATCTAGTTGTTTTATAAGGTAAACATTAAAGAGACTTGCAAAAATGTAGACTTGTAAATGTTACTATTTTAAACAACTTTACTTCAATTTTTAATATGCTTTGCACTGTATATGTAAAATACAAGCAGACACACATACACACACACACACACACGTATGCGTATGTCCTGCAAGAGTCAATTAGTATCCTCTGTAATTTCAGGAATCCAAGAGTTCTGAAACCAAAAAGTTTTTAAGAACTATAGAGCACGGAGTGAATATGTATATATATTTTTTAAGTCAAAATAAGAAAAGTAGGGCCGCCCTGGTGGCCTAGGCATTAAGTCTCAGCACCATCACTTCTATAGCTTACGCTCCATTCCATGCTGACCCACATATGATGCAGCAGACCTCTCCTGCTATACCCGTCGCTCCCTCAAGCAATGTATTTCAGTAAATCTGTCTGTTCTGCTCCCTACTGTCTCTGGTGAATTCTCACATACCCTTGGCCTACATCCCAATTCTTCTATACAAAATAATAGTGTTATATATTATTTTTCATTTGCTTTTATTACCTAAACAAGGCATTATTTCCAAGTCCATACACATGTAAGAACAACAACCCAATCTTTTCAACAAAATAGCATACTACTGTATGATTGTTACACTTTTAATCAACTGTATTAATGAACATTTGAAGCATTTCTAATGATTTTAACTCAATTAATATTTTAATATACACCCCTGAAAATCCTCTCATTCACAAGTATTTGAGGGCCCACTATGTGCCACATAAGACATAGAAATGTAGATCAAAATTTGCTGCACTCATAGAGCTTATATTCTATTTGAAAGTATGTCTTCATGTACTTTTTGAAATGCAAAGAATGAATTTCTAAAAACGGCATAAGAAGTTATTTTTTTTTCTTTTTTTTTTTTAAATTTATTTATTTATTTGTCCATACAGAACTGGGGTACAGGCCAGAGGCTCAGGGGCGG